GATTGACACGGATTACAGACGACGAACTTGAAAAATTTAGGCTAAACTTTTCAAGATGCGCAAACCGTGACGTAGCTCCTTTAAGAAAACAACTCATATATTGCCTTGTGATAATTTTCTGAGATCTATATCAGTCTTGTAACCCATGGCAGCTTTTGTATTTGTCAAGTCGGAAGATTTCGCGACCTGTTAACTCGTGGCAGCATGCAGATCGTTCGCGTATTATTGTTCCGTTATTTACTGTCACTTCACGAGAACAGCTAGTAACTATCGATCACACCATTGCCGCAAAAATCTTGAGCAATTTACGAAACTATATCAAAGTCATTTGGAATTCTTTGCCAGTATCTATAAGTGGTTCAACAAGAACAGAAAAAACCTTAATGAAGTTACGCCGAATGTTTAGCTATAAATTAGAACTGTTGAGGTGACATCCGCTATCAGCCTGGTGATTTTTTTCTTTTCTTTTTTTTTTTTTTTTCGGAGATGTCCTCGACCTATCTAAATTGTTACTGTATATAGTGGCAAATAAAATGATGATGATGACTTCACTGTGGAACAACTGACGCAATAAAAACAAATAAACAAACAACAAAAAGTGACAAAACAGTTGAACCAATCAAGGGGTTTTATTATAAAATGTCCCTTGTTTATAAACAGATTTCAAAAACTGTCCTTTGAAGAGGCTCGTGTATGGGAGAATTACTCTCTTATATCATACTCTCTTCAACCATGTGTGATCATAGTTAACAATTTCATTGGTTTGAATTGTGTTGAAGCTTGGCATTTTTCTTTTATTTTCACGTTTCTTTGTAAGTGCCTTTTACTACTCAATAGTTACTATGAAGATCTGTATATATTTAATAAGCTGGGAGGCACTTCATATTTGAATTAATTTTAAATGTGTCCTTTGCGGCAAAAAATAACTTACAGTAAATGTTTGATTTGAATTTCTCTGAAAGCGTTTCTTAAATTATTACAAAATTATAAAGAATAAATTTTCGCATGTATTCGTCCATCAATAATGAACATATACGATTTAATTCACATTGCACTAAAGCTTTTTGAATTACATTCTAACACACTGAACACACCACATATGCACAGCTACACGTACTTTTACAATGTTCTGATGCAATTAAACGCCAACAAAAGGACAGACATTGACCACATTTCAAAACACCTCAAAGTTTGTCCGCCACGCGTCGTATTTTCAATTCTCTTTTCCGTGCTTCGAAAAGTGGCCAAACACCATTTCTCGTGTTTGATACATTACATGAACAACATTGACGAGCGTTAAAGTTAAAATGGAGACCAAACCAGTCCCAAAATAATAGGGCAGGTTTGCATAAGGATATAACTTATTTCTCAGCGGAGAAAAAAAAATTCCCTGTTTGTGATCACTAGCAATGCAGTCACGATACTTTGTATCAATTGCAGGACGCTATATTACACGTTCTCGTCAAACGAAGCCAATACAGCTTTGTCAGGCCTTGTAGATAAGCAAACTTTGTTGTCTGTGTTAGGGGCGAAACATTTCAGGCCTTTTTCTCCTCTTTCCGGCACGCAAAACCAGCTCATTGACTTGACTACAACAACCAAAAAGTGAAACTAAGTAAACCTGAAGGCCTCAAGATTTACGATTAAACAGTCGGGACAAGCTTTAACCTTACTGTCTGGGATCCTAACCAATGGAAATAGGCAGTCAGTCTTCTCCTAACACCCAATAGACAGTCTACGTATCGTGTTTTGCCACCATAAAGCTAAGCTCTTGCACGCCTTACGTGCCTACGTTTTTGCTTTGTTGCTTCATACAATTTAAGCTAGTAATACAACGCTTTCGAGTGGCATACCATGGAATATCCCACGAGTCACTTGTATTTTCTAGGTATACATACGAGCCTTAANTTATCCTAGTCGTTTCCCTTCTTCATTCGTAGTTTGATATTGCCTAACTATGATAAGAGACAGGGATGTTTTGTTTCGCTCTTTACTAGGTAGCCTGAGCTACTTTAAATTAATGTAGGAACGAAGCACCGCCTTTACATTTCTCTTGCACAAAAGCTAACATGCTTAATATATGATAGCCATCAACATCATTAACAAAATCACCTACACTTTCAGCTCATTAAAAATATTTTCTATGTTCTTAATTTGTTTAAGTTACATAATATCCGTATAACAGATCAAAGCAGTTTTCGGTTTAACCCTTCAAATTTTAAACAGAGACAGACTCCATAAATCAGAATGGTAAAAGATTTCATTCCTGGACTGTTGACCCTACTTTCTGTACTGAACTTGACCGAAGATCACTGCTTGCAAATCACTGATAAGAAATTAAAGTAAATTCTTCTTAACACGGAATTCTGCTATCACCATAAGAGTGAGAGAAAAGGTCTAATTTGTTTATGCCCTGGAACAAGAATCTGAAACGAAGGCCATGGTAATTTAGGTAAAATTGTCACTTGCGTTAGCAGTATAGTGAGACATTCTGGTACGTTTGTTGTAAGTTATTTTTAACGCTTAACGAGATAAAGTGAAGATAATTTGGACTGAGTTAGGGAAGGCTTAAAGATGGAAAATTGATGATGGATGTTGGACTTGACCCACAGCTCGACTGAACGAAACCAAAATCTACGCTATATTTGATACAAACCACAAGCTGACCTGGATGTTCTTCAGTCAGAAATACTTTCTTGATTACTGTTTTTGCAGTTAGTAAAACGAGATAGCCGTCGTCGTGAACTTGTCAGCACGAGAATTATGTGGATCTGGTCCACTGTGACATTAGCTTGTATAATAATTTGTTCAATTGCTCGAAAGGCCCTCCTGTCTAGCAAACAACCGGCGGAAATCCTTATGCGTTGGCAGGCTGAGTAATATATGAGGAAACTGCATCTATCGCCACTTACGCCGTGGGTCTGCCTAAAAATGAATTGCTTAAGTTTAGTTTATGGTTATTAACTACACCTCATTGTAAGAGACATAATGAAACGACCTGGTGAGTTATATTGACCTTCCCTACTGGCCCTGGCTGTCTGTAGGAAAAGATACTTGCTTTGGTGGTCTCTATTCTCTCCTGGTATAAAATTTAATTTGGTCTTCCGGTTGGATGCTAACTCTTTTGGGGTACCAGGGGAGGCTGTTAAGTATATACTTTCACGGATTTCGGGGGATTTCCGACCTTAATGCCTTGATATGAGGCTTCTCTTTTTCTTTGGTTGTCCTTTTGTCTTCGGGTTGAGAACTGGAACACCTTTGGTGGAGTACCGGCGATGACAGGTTGACACCTCTGTTATAGTAAAAAAAAAAAGTATGTTTCCGCGCAATTTGTGATGAAGGAACTTTGAAACGACTGATCCATTTTGGCCATTTTGAGTAGAATAAAAGAGAGACATAGTCTGTTGGTCTCCTAGCAACACGGGCTTCTGACCAGTTGAGGAAAAGCAGAAATAAAATTATTCCAATTGCTGTGAACTAGTAATGCGTAACTGTTATTTTCATTGGCCGACTTTCGCATCCTTTTGGCTGGAATGAAATTACAGTGTCATAAACAACGATGAATTTCCAAGATAAAGCGACATAAATTGATTGATAATATGTTTTCAAGTTGTACAAGAATCAAATGCTAGTACAGCATTATAGTATTCAATGTTATCGGCGAAGTTCTGAGCAAACTCAGCATAACTACTACTAAATGCACATATACCTCCTCACGGCCTTAAAGTGGATATTTTAACACGAGCAGCTTACACGTACCTTTGGTAGAACGTTTCGTTTTAGTTTGATAACAGACAGGAACTCGACAATATCTTGCACTTGAAGATCTGTCAGAACCTTAAGTTGTGGAAGAAATACTGCTAACGTTCCTCTGACGTGATCTTTTCACAATCACTAAATCTGGAGACCTAATAGAGTACGCCATTGTTTGGGTAATACGAGTTGCGTTGAGCCAGAATGCAAATGATTTAACCGTGTCTGAAAAGAGATTTTGGGCAATAAATTGTCAACACCGGTGTGGGAAGGGCACATAACTATTTGGCTGATCACGCTATTTTAAGCGATCTCCTGGCTGATTAACGGGTTTAAAAATCTAGTTAAACTGGTAAGTAACGGTTTAAAAAGATATAGAATAAATTGAAAGAACTGCTAGAAAACTGTCAAAGAGTGCAAATGAAAAAATTACCTTTTAACAGAATGTAAGCGTACCTTAACTTAGTTCAAGGTTAGGTCAATGTTTATGAGAATGTGACCCATAATTCGTATAAATCCTTTCTGTCTGTTGCCTCCAAGATTGTATCATTGAGTAAACATCGAACTGATTTTGTATTGTCATAGAGCACTTATCCTTTGCCAAGAAGAGAGTTTTGCCACATACTTACGTACTGAAAAGACTAACCAAGCCACAAATTAATTCAGCTGGATTAATTTCAGGAAGTTATTTGACTTCGCCTCATGGTGACAGATTCTTTACTTAGTCATTACAATTAAACTGGTAAATTACTATGCAATTAAATGATGGAGTCACTCGAGACCCCTCATGGCAAAAATGAAGCTCACCTCGCAATATTTCAACACTCAATTCTTTTCAAATGTCCCTACAGCAACCGTGAGATATTCCACATTCAATAAATCGTCTTCTGTGTGATACAATAGTCCACGAGGTATATGTCGAATTAAGGCCGTGGGACATAATTGAAATAACTGGAACAGGGCTTGTCTGGTCATAACACAAAATCCACGCATTGCTACTTTATTATTTCTTAGGTGTATTGAGTTTGACAAGCAAGTTCAAATATTTTGTCGGCATCGTATGGCACTGCCAAGGCAAGGTCGACGTTAAGAACGAAAAAAAGTTCGTTATCACCGCATCGAAAACGGTGCTCTTAATTACTGTAAGCCTGACCGGAATGAGCTTAACTTTACTGCTGTTGTAAACAGCCATCGAATTACAAAACTGCAACTTGAGATGCCTCGCATTGTTTCTTTAAAACAGATCAAGGTATTAAAAACCATCTCATGGTGGGACATTTCGGAAGAACTCTAACAAGTAATAAGCCGCCGGATCGTTCTTGAGGCAATGAAAGCACATTAATTCAACAAATTGATTTGACCAGTTCACCGTTAATCTGTTAAGACAAGAATCATTTTCTCTTGGTTAAAAAGATTAACATTAGAGGAACGACAAACATCTATGGTAGAACAATCATCCTTTCTATAATTTTGCACTTGCTTTATGTCACGTTCTCGATGTTCAGTTATTACTTCTTTATCAAATTCCTGGAATGTCTTAAGTGAAGAAAATGCCAGAACGTAATGCATCAGTCTAAACAGACGTGAAATTCTAGGTGTGCCAATTCAAAATCGTTCACCGCGGGTTTGGGGCCCGGGGTTGGGGTTGATGCACCGATAGATCGTGATCCAAATATCCTGCTCTCGTCATGTATCTCTTGAATTTGTGTCAAGTTGCTCCTTTGTCCTCAGTGTAGAGCTAAGTAAGTAAGCAATTAAGTGGTGGAGTGCATGCCGGCTTGCGCAATCTCCTGAGCCAGAGCTGATCATGTTAAAAGTGCTGGAGAATAATAGTAATATCCTAATAAAATCCAATGAGTTAGGGAGTTCAGTCAAAGCATTTTGAATTAATTTTGGCCTGACGCACAAAAGTAACTTTAAATTGAAGAAAACCAAAGAGCTAATAATAAACCGTAAAGGAACAAGAATGGTTAAGGATGGAGAAGATTGACACGGATTACAGACGACGAACTTGAAAAATTTAGGCTAAACTTTTCAAGATGCGCAAACCGTGACGTAGCTCCTTTAAGAAAACAACTCATATATTGCCTTGTGATAATTTTCTGAGATCTATATCAGTCTTGTAACCCATGGCAGCTTTTGTATTTGTCAAGTCGGAAGATTTCGCGACCTGTTAACTCGTGGCAGCATGCAGATCGTTCGCGTATTATTGTTCCGTTATTTACTGTCACTTCACGAGAACAGCTAGTAACTATCGATCACACCATTGCCGCAAAAATCTTGAGCAATTTACGAAACTATATCAAAGTCATTTGGAATTCTTTGCCAGTATCTATAAGTGGTTCAACAAGAACAGAAAAAACCTTAATGAAGTTACGCCGAATGTTTAGCTATAAATTAGAACTGTTGAGGTGACATCCGCTATCAGCCTGGTGATTTTTTTCTTTTCTTTTTTTTTTTTTTTTCGGAGATGTCCTCGACCTATCTAAATTGTTACTGTATATAGTGGCAAATAAAATGATGATGATGACTTCACTGTGGAACAACTGACGCAATAAAAACAAATAAACAAACAACAAAAAGTGACAAAACAGTTGAACCAATCAAGGGGTTTTATTATAAAATGTCCCTTGTTTATAAACAGATTTCAAAAACTGTCCTTTGAAGAGGCTCGTGTATGGGAGAATTACTCTCTTATATCATACTCTCTTCAACCATGTGTGATCATAGTTAACAATTTCATTGGTTTGAATTGTGTTGAAGCTTGGCATTTTTCTTTTATTTTCACGTTTCTTTGTAAGTGCCTTTTACTACTCAATAGTTACTATGAAGATCTGTATATATTTAATAAGCTGGGAGGCACTTCATATTTGAATTAATTTTAAATGTGTCCTTTGCGGCAAAAAATAACTTACAGTAAATGTTTGATTTGAATTTCTCTGAAAGCGTTTCTTAAATTATTACAAAATTATAAAGAATAAATTTTCGCATGTATTCGTCCATCAATAATGAACATATACGATTTAATTCACATTGCACTAAAGCTTTTTGAATTACATTCTAACACACTGAACACACCACATATGCACAGCTACACGTACTTTTACAATGTTCTGATGCAATTAAACGCCAACAAAAGGACAGACATTGACCACATTTCAAAACACCTCAAAGTTTGTCCGCCACGCGTCGTATTTTCAATTCTCTTTTCCGTGCTTCGAAAAGTGGCCAAACACCATTTCTCGTGTTTGATACATTACATGAACAACATTGACGAGCGTTAAAGTTAAAATGGAGACCAAACCAGTCCCAAAATAATAGGGCAGGTTTGCATAAGGATATAACTTATTTCTCAGCGGAGAAAAAAAAATTCCCTGTTTGTGATCACTAGCAATGCAGTCACGATACTTTGTATCAATTGCAGGACGCTATATTACACGTTCTCGTCAAACGAAGCCAATACAGCTTTGTCAGGCCTTGTAGATAAGCAAACTTTGTTGTCTGTGTTAGGGGCGAAACATTTCAGGCCTTTTTCTCCTCTTTCCGGCACGCAAAACCAGCTCATTGACTTGACTACAACAACCAAAAAGTGAAACTAAGTAAACCTGAAGGCCTCAAGATTTACGATTAAACAGTCGGGACAAGCTTTAACCTTACTGTCTGGGATCCTAACCAATGGAAATAGGCAGTCAGTCTTCTCCTAACACCCAATAGACAGTCTACGTATCGTGTTTTGCCACCATAAAGCTAAGCTCTTGCACGCCTTACGTGCCTACGTTTTTGCTTTGTTGCTTCATACAATTTAAGCTAGTAATACAACGCTTTCGAGTGGCATACCATGGAATATCCCACGAGTCACTTGTATTTTCTAGGTATACATACGAGCCTTAAAGGCAAGTGTGTATACCAAGAAAATACAAGTTACAAGTGGGATATTACATAAGGTGTGCCACGAGAAAAAAATTGCTCAACTATTTTATACCATGCCTTAGAAAATCCCGTGGTGGACAGAATCAATGCGACATACGTGCTGTGCACAATTGGAAGGTCGGGTGTAATACAGTCGAGTATACGAAGGCGTTCCTGTATTCTGACTGGCTGTAAGGCATGGTATAAAAACCAATATGTTTGCCCAGCTCTTATCTATCTGTCTGTCTGTCTGTCCAGTCCTCAGTCTGACTTCCAAAAATAACCAAGAGAGAAAAAAAGGGCAGTTCTTGTTCTAAAACTAATGGTGAGACAGTTGGTATTGATAGTAGCCGTAGAAAGCCAAGAGGAATAGAAAACAAGATCAAGATATTTCCACCTTCTTTGCCGACTTTTTCCTCTTCTTCTTTTCTTCCTCTGACATATGATGGGCATGCGCTTTCGATGCTCTACGGAACTGCCGCAGCTGGTTAAAAAAAGAAACATAATCAATAATCAATAATTTATAAATAATTAATTTAATAAAATGGACTTTAGAAGCCCAACGTAAACAAAACAGGGATTCAAACAGATTGAATACAGTTTATCTATTACCATTTTCTGATCCTCCTTCAGTTTGGTCTCCGCGCGTTCTTTAGCTGTTTTAATAGCTTCTTTTAATTTACTTGAGATCTTAAATCAACAAAGGTAAGACACTGTAGGTTAGAACTGTAAGTAGAGGTTTCCACTGTATGTGAAGGATTACAGGCGGCTACATTTACAAGACAAAAGCGATTTTGCCTCCACTACAAAACTGAACACAGCCAAAAGGTTACGGGGCATCGGCGCGTTGGTCAGCCAAGCCTAAGATATGTTTTAATTGAGACAATATTGTTACAACAAAGTGGATAAAAGATACATCAAATAAGACGTAACATGGGCCAAACCGGACACGTAAACCCCAAAAACCTTTATCAAATTAGGAAAAATAGGGACCGTGTACCCCCGACCAAATGCAGTGGCGCTACCTTTGGGGTTTAAGGTTATTATATAAACAACAGAGTGAAAGATAAATAAGATGACACTATTCACACAACACTAGAACCAAAAATAAACCTTTTCCGAAGCTGCGAGTGACAAGGCTGACCGTAGAATGTCACAAGTTTCTCAACCGTCTCTTTTCACAAAAGCACTAACCATGAGTCTTCACGAACTAGGCTCGCACCCAGCTCATTGCTCCGTGTCGATAAAATATTAATTTATGTCAATACCGGTTATCACAAATTACATCGGTTACCACCCATACAGGAAACAAGACACTGTTGAATTATTTCTAACCAGAAGTGAAACGGTTTCAGTGTCCACTGTAAGACTGATAAGTAAAAAGAAGGCAATTTACGCTTTAATTAATTTTTAAATTCATTAAAGCGTAAATTAAAACAATCAAGACATCGACTACAAAACCACACCCGACAGACTTTTGCTCAAAGAAAATTTTGTTCGCGGAAAGAAATTAATATCAAACTCGCCTAACGTGTCGTTGGAGAGAACAATTGCACGATTTACCACATACAATGTATATGTCTTTCTTTTTTGTAATCGTTCTGTACAGTAGTTCTCCCATGCCTACGTAGACCAAAGAGTGTAACTGAACTCCAACTAAAAACATTTGTAATACATCGCCGTTTTTCGTTTGATCTCAATTATATTGGACTCCAACAGTTAAAGGAGAAGGTCACTCCAGAAAGCTTACTTTTTAGTTTTCGCCTATAGCAAGTAAACATTCAGCTATTCCACTCACCGAAGTTTCAGCCTCTGAAGTGCCCGCTATCCTGAAGAAATTCGTCTTGAAAGATCGACTTCGGAGGTCGCCATTTTGAAACTATCTTGGCAGCCAGGCTGTGTTTATGTGACGTCATTCGGTCCGACTCGAAATTGGCGGCAAGGAGAAAAACCCGCAACTGACTTGGCATCCTTCACATGGTCAGCAAAATCCATTTTTTCCCAAGCGATTTTCCATTTCACTATCTTCGATGCTATCATTGTGGAGTTTAGAGCATGTTTGGCTCAAAATAATATGGCTTACGGAGCAGCCATAACGCAGAGTGGTAGTTAAAAGCCTCCTCGGAAGCCATCTCTCGGACGAAATTACGTCACGAAAACGCGGCCTGGGTGCTGAGTACTGTTCAAAATGGCGGCAACGATGTTCGAATTTGGAGACGAATTTCACAAGGAACACCTGCACTTTAGAAGCTGAAACTTCTGTGAGTAGCTAAACTTAGTGCAAAGTTTTTATCAGCGTTGACAAAAAACATACGTTTTTTGGAGTGACCTTCTCCTTTAAGTTATTTACCTTAAGCTGAGGCTTATCATTGGAAGGGAGGTCTATTGCTGTAAAAAACCTGTTAAAAAAAAAATGATGATGATGACTTAACAAAATATTTTATCCCTGGCCTTTGATATTTAAGAGGGTATGTAGAAGAAGTATTCCTTTCGCAGTATATGTATTTGTATGGTACCTAGAGACCTGGTTATAAAGTACAAAACTCTTTTAAAGGGCTCCAAAATCCACAAAACAGGGCTCCAGGGCTTTCGTTGCACTGAAAGTACTTTTCACTTTATGAGTACACTAACCTAACTAGTAAACATAATTGGACACTATGCTTTGAATGATTCTTGGCAGGCACCGTGTATGGCTTTTCTACACACTGGCTTTAATAAAAGAGATATGTATACATGTAGTCCCAGAATAACGAAAAAAAAGGGAAAAAATCATCAAAGAACATTGCAGTTACTTACGGATTAGCAAGAAGATCAGAAACCGACGGAAGACCTGTCTTGTTACACGCCTCATCACTTAAAATCGACAACAAAACTGATCCTGTAGATTAAAACATCACATGTACCAAGTAAAGGGTTCACCAAAACGTTTTGTGCTCATAACAACAACAAAGAAAATGACTACAAGCTTTGTTCTACATGTGTTTCTCAGTATCACAAAAGAATTGTTAGCCTTGAAAGGAGTTCTAAACCTCCCATATTTTGTCACGTTTCACTAAAAGTTCATTGGCACGCATTAATGAAGTCCTTGGCGGAGAGAGAGGAACTGTTCTGGACGTCAAAGTCAAGTGCATGTCTTTCTCAGGCCCATGTTCGAACTTGCATTGATTCACCCAGAGGTCAACAGACCAGCCATCACCTAGGCCTCCATCGTACTACAACTACAAAATTTCGCACTAGTGTAAGTCACCCTCACATTTCACCTTCACAACCACGCAGTAAAATCCATCATTCTAAAAAACTTTAAATTACTTCAAAATGATCCCGATACTGGTAGAATCTTTTCGCAACCTCCATTAATTTCATTCAAACGCAACAAAAACATAGGTAACTTTTTAGTCAGAAGTGCATTCCAAAAACGTGATCAACCCGGAACTTTTAAATGCGCACACGCACGATGCAAAGCACGTCCTTTCATTCGCAACGTTGAGAAAATATCGGGACCCAAGCGATCCATCGTGATCAGTGATAATTTCACCTGTACCTCAGCCAATGTCATCTACTGCATAACTTGCACTCAGGGAGACGACTAGGCGACCGATTCCGAGAACAGCTTCGTGATGTACAGAAAGACGACAAAAACGCATCTAAACTGGTCGCGAGACACTTTAATCTCCCCAATCATTCTAAGCAACATATGGCAGTCTGCGGCCTTTCCCTGTATCAAGGAAGCACGGAAAGCCGCAAACCTCTAGAACAAAAATTTATTTTTCAAATCGACACTCTTAATCCTCACGGTATCAACGGACGCTTTTTATTCAACTAATTTAATTCTGTTGTTTTTCACGTTACCATGCACCAACCAATAGCGTAGCTCCATCTTTCTGTATATAAACTAAACACAACCCACAATTCAACGATTCGCNTTTTCGCAACCTCCATTAATTTCATTCAAACGCAACAAAAACATAGGTAACTTTTTAGTCAGAAGTGCATTCCAAAACCGTGATCAACCCGGAATTTTTAAATGCGCACACGCACGATGCAAAACATGTCCTTTCATTCCCAACGTCGAGAAAATATCGGGACCCAAGCGATCCATCATGATCACTGATCATTTCACCTGCACCTCAGCCAATGTCATCTACTGCATAACTTGCGCTCTTTGCAAAAAGTTATACATCGGCGAAACAGGGGGACGACTAGGCGACCGATTCCGAGAACACCTTCGTGACGTAAAGAAAGACGACAAAAACGCATCTAAACCGGTCGCGAGACACTTTAATCTCCCCAATCATTCTAAGCAACATATGGCAGTCTGCGGCCTTTCCCTGTATCAAGGAAGCACGGAAAGCCGCAAACCTCTAGAACAAAAATTTATTTTTCAAATCGACACTCTTAATCCTCACGGTATCAACGGACGCTTTTTATTCAACTAATTTAATTCTGTTGTTTTTCACGTTACCATGCACCAACCAATAGCGTAGCTCCATCT